CACCGGCGGGACACCGCGGGCCACCGGCCGCCCGGAAGGGAGTCATTTGGTCCGGCCGCGCCTCAGCCACACGGGACACCAGCGGGACACCGGCGGGACACCGCGGGCCACCGGCCGCCCGGAAGGGAGACATTTGGTCGGGCCGCGCCTCAGCCACAGGAGACTTTCTCTCGCCCGCCCACGCAGATTCGCCTCGCCCGCACGGCACGCACGAACACGAAACCGAAATCGATTTCCCGGTAGGGGGGCTCTCCGTTCCACTTCGATATCACCCCCTCACCTCCGACGACCACCCTTCGGGTGATACGGAGGTTGGGGGGGGAGGGGGGGAACCAACATCTGACTCAATCGATCTCATTATCGATCTCACTCAACGGGACACCACGGGACACCACGGGACACCACGGGACACTTGTCGATCTCACTATCGATATCACTATCGATCTCACTTTTTTGGACACCACGGGTCACAACGGGCCACCACGGGACACTACGGGACACCGCGGGACACTTCTGGATCTCACTATCGATCTCACTATCGATCTCACTATCGATCTCACTTTTTGGGACACCACGGGACACCACGGGACACCACGGGACACCACGGGGCACATCGGGACACCACATCGATCTCACTATCGATCTCACTGTCGATCTCACTATTGATCTCAGTCAACGGGACACCACGGGACACCACGGGACGTCTGTCGATCTCAGCATCGATACCATTATCGATCTCACTTTTTGGGACACCACGGGACACCACGGGACACCTCTGGGCACCACATCGATTTCAGTAGCGATCTCACAATCGGTCTCACTATTGACCTCACTGAACGGGACACCAAGGAGCACCACGGGACACCTGTCGATCTCACTATCGATCTCACTTTTTGGGACACCACGGGACACCACCGGACACCTCGGGGCACCACATCGATTTCAGTAGCGATCTCACAATCGATCTCACTATTGACCTCACTGAACGGGACACCAAGGGGCACCACGGGACACCTGTCGATTTCATTATCGATCTCACTTTTTGGGACACCACGGGACACCACTGGACACCTCGGGGCACCACATCGATCTCAGTATCGATCTCACTATCGATCTCACTATCGATTTTACTTTTTGGGACACCATGGGACACCACGGGACACCACGGGACACCGCGGGACACCGCGAGCAACCGCCAGACGGACGGACGGACGGGCGGGCGGGGCATCTACTTCGCCCTAGCAACGGCGGACACCACGGGACACCGCGGGACACCGCGGGCCACTGCCGGACGGGCGGGAGGTGGAGAATCATTTGTCTTGGCTTCGCCCTAGCAACGGCGGGTTCATTCCTCTCGCGCGCCCACGCAGCTTCGCCTCGCCCGCACGCACGACACGAGCGAAACGAAACGATTTCCCGGTTGGGGTCTCCGTTCCACTGCGATCTCACCCCCCAACCTCCGATCGATCATGATTTCGGTGGTGATAACGATAGTGGGGTTAGTAAAGATATCGATCGTGATGTCTATAGTGAGATCGATAGTGGCTGAGATCGATGGTGAAGTCGATAGGGCGATCGACAGTAAGGTCGATGGTGAGATCGATTGTGAGGTCAATGTTGATATCGATTGTGAGATCGACAGTGGGATCGATAGTGAGAGGGACCGTGAGATCGACTGCGAGATTGATAGTGGGATCGATTGTGCGATCGATAGTGATGCCGATAGTGAGATCGATCGTGAGATCGTTGGTGAGATCGATTGAGCGAGACGTTTGTCCCTCCCCTCCCGAGCCTCCTCATCACCTGACGGGTGGTCGTACGGGTACTCGATACTTGTTATACAATGCAGAGTCTATGTAGCGCAATCTTTGCGGGCGGCGACGAGGCGGCAACGGCGACCACACAGCCGCAAGACCGACGGGCGGCGACGGTGACCGCATGGCCGCCAGACCCACGCGCAGGCCCAGACGACGGGCGGCGACGAGGCGGCGACGGTGCGGCGGCGGCGACATTATGGCCGCCAGTCCGACGCGCAGGCCTAGTTCCTTAGAGAACAAGTAAGAAGCCGTGAGTGCAAGCACTGCTTGGGGAAAGCGTGAGATGACTCATTGACCACTTTATCGCAATTTCACAGTTTTGCCAGGACACTCTGACATGAGATGACTCTGTGGCCACTTTATCGTAATTTCACAGTGTTGCCAGGACAGTCCGATTAGAGGTTCATCGCTGTGCGGAAGACCGCGCTATTTTTTCCGCCACCTATTTCGGCTCAGGCTCGAGTTGCTGGGCCCTTCGTTCCTCATTGTGCAGCATGTGGGCTTCCGTGCGGGGCCTTGTTGCGCTCGGTGGGGCCACCGCCTCCTTGGCCGCTGCCCCCGCGGACCTAGTGACAGAGCTGCCAGGCTATGGGGCCCCAGCCACGCACCACTTCACCGGCCTCGCGGACGCCACCCCAGACGGCGCGAACAAGCTCTTCTACTACTTCGTTGAGGCGGATGTTGGCTCACGCTCTGCCGACACACCGCTCCTGATCTGGCTGAACGGGGGGCCCGGCGCGTCGTCGATGATCGGTCTCCTGTCGGAGAACCTCGGGCCGCAGCAGATCAAACCGGATGACGGCTCGGGCCTTGGGCCGAGGCTCGTGGACAACGCTGACCGCATCACGAAGAAGTACCATTTGATGGCAGTCGACAACCCCGTAGGCTCAGGCTATTCCACCACTTCAACCGGGAAGTACGTTACATCCGAGGAGGAGATGCGCGAGCAGTTCGTTCACGCCGTCCGGAAGTTTTACGAGATGCATCCCGAGTACAAGCAGAACCCTGTTTGGGTGACGGGGGAGTCTTATGCGGGGAAGTACGTGCCGAACATTGCCCTCGAGCTCGCGGTCAATGCGACGGACGTCCCTCTTCAGGGGATCATCGTTGGCAACGGCATGTACCACGAGCGGATTCAGTATGCGACGCTCGGCGACTATGCCTTCAGCAACGGCGTCATCGACGAGAAGCTGCTCGCGGAGATGCACCGCCGCGAGAAGCAGTGCATCCAAGCGATCGACAAGGCTCAGGTGAATGCTGGCGACTTCTGCGAGAACATTACGGTCCGGTGGCTGTACACAGGACCCGATGCGGCAGCCGGAGAGTTGTTCTATCGACGACGCCTCTGGCGAATCTCCGCCGCCCACCCCCTTCAAGGAGATGTCCGTGCGGCCCTGCATTGGTGCAAGCTTTGGCCGAGCTGCTGGGCCGTGCGCTCCTCCGTTCAGGCATCGAGGGCCTCCTACTCCTTCCCACTCTTTCTGGGGGCTCTTGGCGCTCTTTCGGGGCCTTTTCGGAGCACTGAGGCTTCTTCTTGGAACCGTCTATTGGCAATCCCGCGCTGATTTGCGGCCTCTTGTGGACCTTGTGCGGCCCGCTTGTGGCTACCTTGGACCCTCTCTGGGCCTTCGCGGAGCCTCCCCAATGCTTCCCGGAGCCCATTTGGGCTCTCTGGGGCCTTTTGTGAACTTTTTGGGCCCTCTTCTGGGCTCTTGAGGCTCTCTTTGGGCCTTCATGCTTCGAGTTGGGGGTATTCTTTGGGATTTTCCTGGGCAAAGCAATTTGTTTCCAATGATGTGGGGCGTTCGGGGGCTTCTCCTTGCCATGTTTGGCCCCAACGGAGCTCCGCCGAAGGCCCCAGTGGCAGGGTTCGCACGGCGCCACCGCACTCATGTTGGCACACCCTTGACACGTTTCGTGGCCCCATAGGGAGCTTCTACGAAGGCCCCCGGTGGCAGGGTTCGCATGGCGCCACCGCACTCATGTCGGCACACCCCTGACACGTGTCGTGGTCCCATACGGAGCTCCGCCGAAGGCCCCAGTGGCAGGGCTCGCATGGCGCCACCGTGCTCATGTCGGCACACCTTTGACGCGTTTCGTGGCTCCGTAGGGAGCTCCGCCGAAGGCCCCGGTGGCAGGGTTCACATTGGGCCACCGCGCTCATGTCGGCACACCCCTGACACGTTTCTCCACCGATGGCCTCTGCGGGAGGATCCACACGCGGTTCCCCGCCCAATTCGGCAAAGGCGAGGGAGCTCCAACGAAGGTCCACATGCCAGCGTTCGCATGCGCCCACTGCACCAATTTCGCGGCCCCATATGGAGCGCCACCGACGGCCCCAGTGGCTGCGTTCGCATGCGCCCACCGCCGCTCATTTTGGCACACTCCTCATACGTTTCGCGGCCCCATAGAGAGCGCCACCGACGGCCGCAGTGGCTGCGGTCGCATGCGCCCGCCGCACGCATTTTGGCACATCCTTCACATGTTTCATGGCCCTACAGGGAGCTCCACCAAAGGCCCCAACGGCAGGATTCGCATGCGCCCACCGCACACGTTTCGGGGCCCATACGGAGCTCCTCTGAATGCGGTGCATAAAACGACGGTTCTCACAATTGCATGTGTTTTGGCCTTTCGCCAGGCTAATTTCCGGCCCTGGCGACCGCATCCCTGCTGTTTCGGGCTCGCTTCGACCCCTGCCCGTGTTTCCAGCCCTGGCCACTTGAACTTTCGCGGATTTTCCAACTTCACTCTTTCCAGCTGCCATGAAGTAAACGAAGTAAGACCCCCTCAGTGCAGGCATGTTTCGAGGACCCCAACATACTTCTACTATATGTGCGCCCCCCCGGGGGCGATGCGCGCACCGAGAAATCTTATAGTGTATGCGCCTTGGCGGGCGCTTTCTGGCCACACCGCTCGGGAAACGATATACGACAAGATGGGTATACTATATGCTTGGGTCGGACGCGTGCCTCCAAGGAGAATCTATAGTACTAGCATGTCTTTGTGCGTCCCATGGTCTTCACAATCTCGAGGCCTCGCCCGGGGCCAGGCGGGCTACGACCTCGGCATGGCCGATGCTGATGCGCTGGATACTCTCACCAAAAGCATGAGCGCATACCCAGGGCTGGACCTAATCGATGTTTTGGCGATTTCGTGGGCCGTTCTCGTTCCGATTTCGTTTTGCGGTAAAGGCGAATCGAAGACAAAAGCGAGGTAAAACGAAAACGAAACGAAAACGAAAAACACCGTTTAGGTTCAGCCCTGCGCATACCTGAACCGCGAGGATGTCAAGGCGGCGCTCCACGCTCAGAACGCTACGTGGCAGTGCGCAGACGAGGTGGGGCCAGTGGCCCAAGCACTGGCCCCCGACTTTACGAAGCCCTCCGCCCCTGTGATTGCTGCGCTGCTGGAGGCCGGCAAGGAGGTCATGCTGTACAACGGCGTGCGCGACGGCTCGGTCTGCAACCACATTGGAAATCTGAAGGCGCTGCTGAGCCTCGAATGGTCTGGCAATGTCGACTTCGCCGCAGCACCGAGCAAGCCCTGGCCGTCGGCAGAGCACGTCATGGGGCACGTCCGGTCGGCGCGGAACCTGCGGTTCGCCACCGTGATGCGCACGGGGCATCTGGTCCCAACCGTCGTCCCCGAATCGTACGCGCAGCTTCTGGACATGGTGCTGTCGGCCCCGCCCGCGGTGCCGGCCAGCAGAGATGGCCTGGTCGTCTGACGCCGCGCGGCGGTGCGGGCGGGCGCGCCGAGGAGGGGCGCCAAGGAGGGGTGTCCGGGTCACCCGCGGGGCTGCCCGTGCGCGGGCACGGGCGCCCGCGGGCGCGCCCAACGGCGTCTTGCCGGAGTGAAAACAGCGCCCCCCTCCCTTTTGTCTTCACACCCCATGCAGGTCGCCCCCCTTTACCACCCGCCCGAGTGCGGTCGGCCCCGAGAAGTCAGACAGGCTCGGAGGCTTCTGCGGCTGACCAGCCGCGCCTTGGTCGGCTGGTTCCTTCCTTCCTCCCCCTCCCCTTCCTCGTGGGCGGGAAGGCTGTCCATACCCATTGACCTGGGTCAGTGCGTCCCCGCGTTTGCATTGACCTGGTGATCGTTTTTTCATTCACTGTTTTGCCGATCGGCGCGGGCCATAGCCCCCCCCGCGCTTGAGTAGATCTTGGCTGTTTTGGCCGCCTGTTTCAGGCAGGTGGAGTCTCCCTCATGGGACGCACGGTTCCGAACAGTCGCATTAAGCAGAGGTCCGGAGCCAGACCCCCTTCCCCCTGCCCCCCCATTCCGCCCAATGTCGAAACGCCGACAAGGAAGACATCGACCCGGGTCAGGGCGTCCCCGACAGCACGTGACTCCCGCCCGCGAGTCTCCCCTCCCCCCCCCCCGAGAGTGCGGGAGTGCGGGGTGCCAGGCGGGCGAGGGCCCCGCCGCCGAGTGGAGCGCCGCAGGCGGGCCCGCAGCGTGCGCGGGGGAGGGTGGTGGTGGTGGTGGTGGTCGGAGGAGGAGGTGGTGGTGGTGGGAGGAGGAGGAGGAGGTTGCCGGAGGAGGATGAAGAGGAGGAGGAGGAGGAGGAGGAGGAGGAGGAAGAGGAGGAGGAGGTTACCGGAGGTTGAGGAGGAGGAGGAGGAGGAGGAGGAGGAGGAGGAGGAGGAGGAGGAGGAGGAGGAGGAGGAGGAGGAAGGGAGGAGGAGAAGGAGGAGGAGGAGAAGGTGGCACAATCTTAAGATCTTAATGGGGGAGCGAACCCAGCCTGGCTGGGGCAGCTGGGTCGGGGCGGGGCTCCTATGCACTAGCTCTCGCCGACGTAGCTGCAGCCTTCGCGGTCCGTGCAGCCTGTCCTAGCTGGCACGCCTCCGCCCACGAAAGCCCATAAAACTTCAACCCACGGTCGGCGTCCATCCTTCGGGCCAGCTCAGGAGCGGGGGCCGAGGGAGAGTCGGGGTCAGGAAGGGACTGGACCAGGACACTGAACCCTTCCTGACGGACGCCGACCGAGGGATTTGAAATGTTTCTGAGCACACTGTGGACCCCGTATCTGGGGAACCTACCACTCAGAAACCTAACCACCGAATTACAATGCCCTTTGCTGGGCCTCCCGTCACACGGCCTGTGAATCCTTCCACGAGCTGGGGACATGTTAGAAGACCCCCTCGCATAATTAGGACCCGCAGGCTGTACAACGCAGGAGGGTGTCCTGACGATCGGGCCCTTGAAAAACTTCAGCATGGAGCAAATCATGGCCCCTGAGATGCCAAACTTCACGTGAGGCCTCCTGGGGCTCCTCCACCAGGCCCTGGGTCCCAGGAGGGTTTTCAAAACACGTGGGCTCCACCACGCGGGCCTGAGGGGGAATCGGCAACCCAGGGAGGCACTCGAGGGGAACAGTAGTGAGCCATTCGAGCCCATCGTGGTCAGCCCAACTACCGCCGCTGATCATCACCTGCTGGGAAGTCGCGGAAAAGGGCCACTTCTCGAGCCAATGCCAGACACCCGTCCACCACGAGAAGCTGGGCCTGGGGGGCTCGTTGGGGCTTGGCTCCTAAATTTGGCTAGGCGGTTAGCGTGCTGGTTCCCTCTCAACTGCTGCTCAGTCAATCTACCTTCTCGGACCGCGTCTTCGAGAGTCTCCGAGACCTCAGACCACCAATGATGCCTGGCCTGATTCTCACTGCACGATGTCGGGAGGCGGTTGCCGACAGACACGGTGGCTTTGCAGTCGGCGAAAACCCTGATCTAATGCTCGATGACTGTGTGGCTGCCAAGTTGCCTGATGGCGAAGTCCTCACCATCTCGAGACGTTTGGTCAGGAGCCGTGTCCAGGGGGACCACGCCATAGAGGGCATGCAGGACGTCTCCATTGTCGTTGACAATGACAACACTCCAGCCTGCTGTGCACAGTTCGGGGTGGTTCGCTTCGAAACAGGAGCCGCCCGTGAAGATCGTACAGCCCTCCTTGACGACCAGCAGCCCATCCTGGGGCCAAGTCAGCTTCTGGATGTACGCCGAGGAGGGATCACGGCTGGGACGCCCGAGCCACGCACCTGGGCCAGGGAGCAGGCCCCCAGCGAACAGCTCCCCCCTCCGATTCGGGTCCACCTCTCGTCCTCCTGGCCGAGCGGCTGACGTTGGGCCCCACGTGGTCTCTCCTCCAGCTCCAAAGCGCAGGACAGCAGCGCCTCCGATTCTACAAGGCGCCCCGGGCTTCCCAGCACAACCTGCACCACTTCGGGCCTGTGCCCTCTCATCCCTTGTTGCTGAAGCCTGGCCTGGGCCCAGCAGATGCTGCGCCCGATACCTTTCAACGTTTGGGCATGGTGACGCGAGGAGGAGGAGGAGGAGGACGAGGAGGAGGAGGAGGAGGAGAGGAGGAGGAGGAGGAGGAGGAGGAGGAGGAAGAGGAGGAGGAGGAGGAGCAGGAGGAGGAGGAGGATGAGGAGGAGGAGGAGGCATCCGGGACAGCAGGGAACGAATCGGAGTCCAGCGGATCGGGGCCTTCCAGGCCGAGAGGTCGGGCTGGTGGTCCGGCTCTTCCCCAGCCGTCGCCCGCCCGCGTCCTTCTCGCACCTGCAGGTGGAAGAACGGGGGGGAGGAGCGCAGGAGGCCCCAGGGTCTCCCCGAGCCATCCTTGATTTCCTTCTTGGCCAGGTTCAGGACCCTCCCGATGCGCTTCAAGGACACCAGTAGGGCCGCCAGCGGCTGCTGGGCGGCGTTCCAGGGGTCGCTAAGCCACCAGGAAGCACGCCTCCAAGACTTCCCAAGAGACCTGTCGATTCCAGAGGACACACGCGAAGTCCTTCAAGGCCTGGCCTGTGGTGATCTCGAGGGGGCGCTTCCGAGCCAGGAACGGGTCCAGGAGGAACTTGAAACCCAAAGCGGTGCCTGGGTGCAGCTGCCCCGCAGCCTTGGCAGCCTGAACACGGAGCTTCCTCAGAGTGGTATCTGCGAGGCCCGTCACCATGGTAACCCTTGTGGCCTTGGCTAAGGGTCTGGCACGAAAGAACCTCTCCACCGCAGAACCAGAGCCCATCTCGAAAAGCTTCCCCGCTGCTTTCCTCGCGTCAGCCTGCCTCTGGGCCAATGTGGGAACCCTTCTGGCATGACCCTTGCTCGAGTCCCCATCGGAGGTCCCCGTGCGAGATCGCGTGGTGCTCTTGGCCCAGGTCCTCCCACTCGGGATCCTCGAGGAGCGCCTGCAGGGCCTCAGGTGTGGAGGTCATGAAGTTCGTTTTCTGCCAACTGATCGTGAGGAGGACCGTCTGCATGTGCATGGAGACCTTCATGTGAGCCTCGATGGAGTGCCTTGCTGAGGTCTGGGGCCCGCCCATCACGTGTGGCGTGAGGTCATCGACGAGGTTGATGCTTCTGCGGGGCGGGATAGCCAAGGCAATCTCACGCAGGACCAACAAAATCATGAGCTTGGCGGTCCCGTGGCACAACTGCAGCCTGCCACTATCGTTCTGTTGGCCTCCGTGGGGCCGCTCACCGAGGCCCCCCATCTGGCATGTCGTGCGCACCGGTGCATGACACACAAGGCCCTCAACAAGCCTGCATTGAACGAGGAGTGGGCTGCCGACATCCTTCGCTGCTCATGAGACACATTCTCACAGAATTTGGCAATGTCGTAAAACGTAGATGTTGAGGTGAGGCCCTTCTCCCTGGCATAGCATGTCAGCATGCTGTGAATGTAACTGGCTCTGTGTGCTGCTGTCTGTGAGTCCGTCCCCCAGAACCAAGAGGCATCACTATCTTTTTCCGATTCCTGCTCCAAATGCGTGCCAGCGTGCTCATCAGGCCGATGGGTCGTGTGCCTCCCGACGGCTTCGGGAGAAAAGCGTAGAGGATCGTCCACCAGGGGGTCGCACCTGGCTGCCTCGCCCACGCATAGAGAATGTCTACCGCTCGTCGTATGATCTCACGTGGCACCTTCACAAGGAGGGTTGGTGCATAGTACCCCACTCCAGTGCTGTGGGCCCAGGGAAAGAAAGGAGCACGGCCAGCAAGTCTTCCATCGTGATGGGCGGCAGGTCCCAGTTCACTCGCCAGGTCTCGGCGTGTGCCTCCCCTGCTCGAGCTCCCGCTTGCCACAAGACATTCCAAGCCTCGAGCATCTGCTCGGCTGCATCTCCACAGTTGAGCGGCAGGTCCTCGCGCAGGATCGGCTTGTCTTCCTCCACCTTCGGCTTGAT